CCCCAAAACCCCAAAACCCCAAAACCCCAAAACCCCTATATTCAAAATCTGCATTGACACTTCTTAAAAATAGATTTTATACAGAATAGGCACCAGGACTCATACAAAAATAATCACAAATCCTACAAAATACATGAGCTTGAACTCATAATGAAACAAGACCAGGTCATTGATTAATATCAGACAGGTAGTTGCATAGCTTAGAGGAGCTAAGGCAGTGGCCTTCTCAAATTTAGATGCATAACTCATCATAGATTGTGAGCAATAATCAAAAAGAGCAGCAACAGATAAGAAGAAGATAACTCCAATTGTATAGTCTTGAAAATGGAGATGATCTCTGAAGAAGAGCAAGAGAGTTACAGCATTAGTTAGCATTCCTAAGGCATAGTAGAAAGGAGAATAGACTGAATTGGCTGATCGAGAGATAATTCTCATTGCAACAAGAGCAGTAGATCTAAAAATCAGAGCAACCAACACGAGTGTTATGCCGATTTTGTATTCATCCTTGTTGGGAGACTCTCCTTGTCTGGTTGATTCTGTGGAGTTAATAGCATAAGCTCCTATAAAAGCTCCAAATAAGAGAAAGATATCTCTGATATGGAGGACTTCCGATAAAACAAAATATGCTAAGATAGCATTCATCAGAGGGTAAATATTCAAAGTGATATGGCACTGGCTTGTCGGTAAATATTTCATTGCGATAAAGAAACAAGGAATTCCTATCATTCCAGTCAAAAATCTCAAAAGGACCCCTACTCTAATATCTTTAGGGATATAAAATACATTAACTCTGGAGTATCTTGCTTCAATCCCTGAGCCTAAACAATAAAGTTTATCCTTACTTATGATTGACAGGAATCCTCTGAATAGGATATAATCAAAGCCAGTAATCGTTTCATATCTCAGATATCAATACTTCAATGATGTCAAGCAGATAATAAAGATTATCTTGGAGAATAACCCAATACTTATCCCCTTGAGTCTGACATAAAGACTCTTCTCTGTGGGTTCAATGCAATTATGACTCTCTTCATCTTCAATCCCGAAGCTTTGAAGTTGTTCTCAACTCTGGCTTGATGGAACATCTTTGTTAGGAGTTCTATATGATAAAGCAAATGCTTACTCTTGAGGGATTAAACCATGCTTCGCAGTTTCTTTGATGGGGTTAATCATAGTTTCCATCTTAGTGAAATGAAGTTTTTATATTATATAAGCTTGATTTGATCAGATATATTCCTCAGTTTTTGTGGGGTTTTGGGGTTTTGGGGTTTTGGGGTTTTGGGG